AAGTTAAGTTTTGGATGGGACCATACCGAGTCTGTTGATGCTGACAAATAAATAAATACTATTCTGATCAAATTGGCCTAAAATTTATTTATTGAGCATTGCTCTCAACGGAAAAAGTTTGAATATCTTCATAGAGGCAGTCCTTATAATATGTAGACAGTTTTGGATGGCGATCTACGCAGTCTTAAAAGTTTATAGACGGCGCCTTAGCTAGTCCATCTCATGATTATCAATCCAGCTATTGAATTCAGCATTTATTATAGATTCTTCGTGTACTCAATATGTATTATTGCATTTCATTTGAACTACTATTGAAAAACAGTTAAAGCAATATGATTTTTTACAAATGCTTATTTTTTCATAATGAATTTGATAGATTAAGGCTGCATGGAAAAGCTTTTTGTATTTTTGTATCTTCTTGGCGGAAAGAGTGAAGAGTTCTGAGTACGCCTAAGGACACGTAACAATAAGAACGCTCAAAATAAATCTACCCCTGTTTGGTATATCGCACACCTGCCAACAGTCGGTTACACTAAGAAAAAAATAATTAGTTAATTGGTTAGGAGGCAATACGTTGAGGCAAACAAGCTCTACTTTGCTTGTATAGCTTGTATCGACTAGGAAACACTCACCACCAATATTCGACACCCGAAAAGTAGAGCATCTGTCAACTGTTCCTTGTATGGAAATAAACGTTCCCTGATGGTAGGCGTGCGATAAAACTTAGAAATCGATCTTGTTCCCCATGTCACGGAAAGTTTGATGAAAATCTAGTGATTCCTGCACCGTCGGGAAGGTAAATGACGGCAATTACACACGCTGTTGGCACCAGTTTGGCAGCAAGTCTAAAACAAGCTAAACAAAATTACTTTAAACTCATTAGATTCCAGGAAAAGTCACTAAGTGGGTTCAAAGCGCACACAGTATTCCCACAGTCTAATGCGATAATGGTTTGTACTATCGGTTGTGGATGGACAACGGTCGATAGCCTTGTGACAACGGCGGGACTGTTTGGTTTATGTGGCCACTCTACTAATTGTTATCATTATTTCCACGAAATAAAACTGACACTCCGATACCAACATATACTCCACCAGGATTAATCCGTTTAACTGTTTTCACACTATATTCATCAAAAGGTTTCATAAGCGAACCCTAAAAATGTGCCTTCGCATTAACCGAAGAAGCAGTAAAAATGGTAACTCAACACTAATAATCAGCTTACTACGATGCGTTCTACTTTGGCTGGTGGAAGGAACCGCTAAAAAACACTTTGGTCGATGCGACCAAAGCAAGCCAAAACATAACTACATGGAAATTATAACATAGATTACATCGATCTAGATTCGGTGTCTCCAACGTACGTCGAGGATTCGTCGCCAAAGCATACAAGTCCGAGCAACGGGTAATTTTGTATTTATAGAAAGGGTTTAATTTACATCTTGTTATACATTTATTTTAACTACATGGCCCAGCCAGCCGTTGACGATTCCGACTATGACGACAACGACAACGACCACGACGACGTCAAGAATGACCTGCAGCGCACGAGCGACGACAGAGAAATTCTATGCCGACGACCGACCCGGGGCAAGAAATCCGAATAGCGACAAAACGGGGGCCTGGCATAGAGCAACAAAAACGGCAAAATGTTGAAACATGTGGAAAAGCGCCGTTGAAATTGCTGTCGCACACATTTTACAAATGCATTTTTCGCATTTCGAATTACACAAGTAATCCTTCGGTGCTTACTCCTTTTCCGATGTCTGATGTCTGTGTGTGTGTATGTTTGTGCGTAAATGTGAGCGGTAGGGAACCTACAGTGCTTCAATGGCAGACGGAACAGGATCGTATATCACTTGCTTAGTTTTTGTTTTTCGGTTTGTTTGTTCCTGATTTGACGTTGATGGCCACCACACAGGAAAAATGCAACGACAAAAAATCTTGATTTTACATTTGATATCGCTGACACTGATCGGGTAGCAATCCCTCGGTTGACCCATCAAGTTCCGAAAGCAGGTCTTTAAAGGCCTTGTTTCGAGAATATACCTGGAACATACGGAGCTGCAAGGGTTAAACCGAATGACTTAAAAAAAATACTCCACACCGGCTGCAATTGAAGCGTGCGCATGACTTTTCAATGCTTCGCACAAAACGCTTGTTATTAGCACTGTTGTCCAGAGAAAGCGTAATCGGTGTCGTAGTTTTTGCAACCATAGCTATTTGATTAAACTCTGTCATTATTCTACACTAATGCTTATGTTCGATGTCAGTTTACCATATCCTTCTTCCCTGTTGTAAACTGCAAATAAGCTTTTACTCCTCAAGGATCGTTCACCGCCGGCTTTCATCAGCCTCGAAACCATTAAAAGGAATTTAAATCTCAGCCGAAAAATTTATTGGAATTTAATTCTAGCGCTCACCGTTTGCTTGAATTTTTATCCGCCGTTTGCTCTTATCCTCATCCGAAAAAAATATCGATTTTAAGCCCCCGTCATTTTCTTATTATTCCCACCCTTCGGCAGCAGTACAACTTCCAGAATGAATCATGATGCTGTGATAAATTAATGGAAAAATGGAGCCTGCGATTTAATACACTTTCTTCTATTTTGCAGCACGTTTTATCGCACGGCTAATGAACGGCAGCAGCGAAAGCACTCTCCGGGAATGGCAAAGTAACCCTCGGCAGCTGCTAAGGGAAAGAATTAACTTGCCCAGTCACTTTGGTTTTCATCACTGCTGCCTGCTGTGGTCCGTTGCACAGGGCAAGTGCAGCTCTTTACCTCCCTGATTGGTGGTTGGTTCGCAACATATAGGACAATTTCGTGTGCGGAATGCGAAATTAAAAGTTCGCATCTCGTTTTAGGCCGGCGCTTCAGGTTGCGAATCGAAAATGGCAGCCAATAGTGGCAGTAACCATAATCAGAGTAACTGCATTTTGATGGAATGATCATGATCACGTACTGGTTTATGAATCGATTGTAGTGTGTGAATAATTTGTAACAACTGAATTATGATTCCTCGATGCATGTGAATTGTTTGATCCTATGAAAATCTACTGACAATTCATCAAATGTTGTCCTTTAGATATTGAAATAGGTGTAATCTCGATAAGCCTCTAAGGGAGATTGGCAAACGTCTACAGTCCATTAAAAAAGTAAGTTTTAATAATTGGTCTACATATCTCTTGAGTGTAATGATCGTTCTTCTTTGAAATAAAAAGAACTAAAGAAAAACTGAATGATCATAGGGGAAATGGCTCTAATATTGGCCTATGGGTCTAAGATGAGGCCCATCGCTTAAAATCTTCTATTTATTAATTTTATCTAGATGAACACGTCATTGGGACGGTACTAATGGATATTTTTGGTAGCCATTTAAAATTTAGTCGATTGCTGAATTTACGTATGGGTCCAAATTAGGCGCATTTAGGCCGACATTACATACTTGACGGTTGATTGAGAACACCGATTGGTATAATCGATTTTGTTGAATAAAATAAACTTTTGGACAAGCTAAAAAAGAGGTGAATACCGAATTTTTTTATGTTCAATTTTAACCTGGATCGTGTATCAAGTTAAGGTTTATTTATTTTCTTCTTTTTTTCCTTTGATTTGTTTTCCGTCGATCTTGAACCGGGGGCTTTACTTCCCTTCCCTTCAATTAACCATTCTACCCTAGATGCTTCTAACGACCAACCAATAATATAAAAAACGGAAAGTATAGTACGAGATGTTCACGTTTTATTCATTTATTGGATTATTCTTAAACAGGCCCTATGTTTTCTGAATCATCTTGCCCCTTAAATGCTGCATAGTAGACCTGGCCGTTTTTGTGGTGCATTTTCGATGTGAAATATATATTATTAATTTTCCCACGCTTTGATTGCAATACTGATCTTTGGTTTTCCATACCATGAATGTAAAAAGTTGGTACAAATTGACAGTCCTATATCGGAAAAAAAATTGTTCAGGATCTTCTGATAAAAAATTTAAGTGAACTACATGCTTAATTAAAAACTAACTAGTTAGTGGTGAATGACCTTAATTCGGTTAAAACCCATATGTCATAATGGGAACACACCGTAATTGGAACGTATAGGCGTGACTGGTACATACCCTATTTTGAGAAAACAAAGAATATAATATCCGTTCGTCACCTATTCTACAAGGGAACGATGTTCTTAAACATATGATGAATTTACTCGTTTGACAGATATTTGACTTAATACGCCTTTTTCAAAAGTCAACTCACGTTCATTCGGATAAAGAATGGAATAACGTACAAGTTGTGAGTGGATGCTGTAAATTGCCCACCCTCCAACGAGCATGTGGAGCGACAAAAATGTTGCCTTTCCTTCGCCATTAGCCAACATGCCAACAACCATCCAGCAAAGTAGTAGTAGTAAGCAGGATAGCGAAAAATAAAAGCTAAGCTCCCTAGCCAGAAGACAAATGATCTCCATGAAAAGCTGTGAAAAAGTGTAGCGAAACACACACTGAATTTTAAAATATGTTTGTACAACAAATTCACCAAGTCGTCTAGTTGCTTGGAGTTGTACATGTCTGTCGCCTCTCGCACTCTGCCATCATACCGTTTTCTTTCGGTTGGTCGGTCGTCAGCCATAGGAGTCGGTGAGAAATGAATGAAGGCTGGATCGTGGCGTGGTTCCCATCTTTAGGATTCTCCCTGCGCATAGAGTGGCCTTCACTGTGTCGTTATTTATTTTCAAACATGTATATCATAATATATATTTCATCATATTTGTACCAGACGTGATGGCTGGTATAGAATACAAACACCATAATGACACTAATTAATTAAACTGGTTCGTGAAGTGCATGTGAGTATGGGATCAACGCGGTTTGTAAGCAGTTTGCGATCCCGTTGATTAAAAATGCTAATGAGTTGTAGTGAAAATTTAAATCAATATTCAATGTGGATATACGTCTAGGGAATACGATGTGGTTGTGATCATTGAAATGGTGAGTAGTACTTACAAGAGGTGAATAAAATGCTGAACTATCTACGCCAATGCTCGGGTATGGGTTCTGCTCGGTTGAAGGATATGGTGTACCGTACACACCAACACTACCGGTTGGTATCCGGGAGTAGCTGGACAGTGCTAACCGGGCCGAATCATATTGGCAGGAGCATACGGTTTGTCCTGATACAGGATCGGTCATAATAGGCCTGCCATTCTCACAGCAGGAGGTTGCCGGTGGCGCATTGTTTGAGGTTTGTGAGACAGCCCCGGGGCTTAAGGCACCTGATGGCGCGCCTGTTGCCGAACCACCCGGGCTCAATGATGGAGCGTTCGTGGCCGAGATTGGTGACTGTGAACTGGCGGTTGTCGTCTGTCCACCACCAACCAACAACTGCAAAGAAAACAGAAAGCAATGAAACCTTTTAATCAACCTACCCAAAATCACTGCCATTAAACCTAATTTCCCAGCCGCAAAAACCACACAAATTGAATTATTTATTAGCATAATCTTCATAGATCATATTATCCCACTTGAGTTCAACACGCCTCCGCGATTGCCCCTATCCCCCTTCAAAACCACACCTCAGCTCGTTCGGTTGTAATAATCACTTCAAGTGTTAATATATCGTCAAATATTGTCTTTTCATCTTTCGACACCACCATCATCATCGACAGCCGTATCGGCATCTTGCCTTCACTCTCATCCAAGTTACCTTTGATTCACTCTATTTCCCAAAACACCAGGCGGAGGAAAACAAAAGCAAAAAGAAACTGACAACCAACGCAACAAGCTAAATAAATAATGAATCTAATGGCCGGTTTTTGAAGAGTCAACCGGCTTCTCTGGGGTTTGACCTTCTTCCCACCCGTCCTCCCCTGACCTTTCTCTGGAGTTTGTTTCAGTACTTATTGCTGGAAGAGGCACACGGTGTTGATTATTTACGTTTGTTGTTCTATCCCCCGAAAAGAAAGAAAGAAGAACGTACCGTCTTCTGGATATTGGAGGGGAGAGCGGGGCACGCAGGGACGACGAAACCCCAAAAATTGTACGTCCATACGAGCAAGCGGGACAGAGTGACTGAGACGTCTCTTGAAAGGCAATGACAGCATGCCGACAGCCATGAGACAGCCGAAGCGGAACGATCCCCTTCTCGGCAAAGATGACAACATACAAACATATCAAATTACGCGATGATAGAACGTATAGTCAATTTGATTTTAATATTTGTCATATAATATGTTAATTTACAGTTAAATGAGATTAAAGGATTTCGGTTCCGCTGTTCGTTTTCAGCGATTAGTCGCATGAATGCGGGAAATTTAACGCAATAATGTCATGCCGAGCTCCCCTCAGTTGCTTAAAAGAAAGTAATAGAAGCCCAAGGTTTTTACAATGGCGGCACGAGTATGTCGCGAATCACCCTGAACGAATACCTAACCGTTTCCATCCATAATAACGCTACTTATGTTTCGCACATGGAGGTATAAACAACAACACAAGCTTCTTATTACTCGCTACACTACTTAACCCGTTCTTCTCGCCCGATTCGTAGTCATGGTGGTGACCCAGAGTGAGGGAGGAAGCACAAACGATAGGATTAACATTTAATTCTATTCTTCTTCTCGTGTCACATAAGATGCTTTATAGCTTTTAATTATGTCTGAAGATGTCGCTTTTAATAATACACACATTAGCTCCTGCTGCTGGGCCGTCGCTACTTTGTTACCATCATTATTGTGAGCTGTGGAAAGGGCATTTTTATATTAACTGGTACCCGGTTCAGAAGCAGAGAAAAGCCGCTTCCATCTTCCAGCCATGAACGTGGAGTGAAAAAATTTTCAACAAAAGTCACATTTAAGCACGACAGATTATGATGAGATGAGTAGTAGGTCAGGAAAGAAGGATGTCACAGGATTAACACTGCCTACTGCACTGCTCAACGGCTACTGAGATTTTTGTAGCCTAGACAAATTAAGCTACCCGACAAGTAATAATCAGAAAGCGACCAACTAATATGAACCCTTCAAACAGCGCGGCATTTTGGTTTGGATGTACCCCTTGTGCGGTATAGATCACGTTACATGGAAACACACTTATAGCAGGAAAAGTGCACTCCAAATCTGTAAATGTGATCGCTAATATTTCTAAAGCATATAGGTAAACCGTAATTATATCTCACCTTTTCGCCATATTTGCTGAAAAATTGCATCCCTTCGCGAGGTTTTCTCGGTGAGCAAGATCCAGATCGAGGAGATGCGAGGAATAAGAATGTTGGTGCATAAAATTCTTCCCAGTCCTGAGTCCACACCTGTTTTGGCGCAAAGGAATGAAAAGATTGTATTTGCCATTAGGCGATAAATTAACACCAATAGGGCAACAAATAACTGTGTTGCTTATTCTAGCCTACTAATTAGGCCTGATTCAATTCCACTTCGTGCATTGACTGAGCTAGAAATCATTTGTAAGTGAGAGGAAAGCAATGAAACCGTAGAGTGATTGCGGAAAATGGAATAGTTATGTTCGTTCAATACATTCATAGTTTCACGAGCCTGTAGGTATTTTTAAAAGTATTGACGTTGTGTAATAATAACTCTTTCAACAAAATACTGAAACAGTAAACTAAGGATGCTGAACGTTTTTAACGACACAGAAAAGCAACACCGGTTCGGTTAATGTTTCTGTTCTGCTGAATGAAGCTTGAAGCTTCCGCGCATCGGTCCCACTAGAGGTTGTTGTTGTAGTAGGCGGCAAATCACGTAGAACGAAGCAACAAAGCAGGACACCATCGAAAAATCATCACGCTTCATAAAGTAGGCGAAAAAGTGCTAATTAAAATGCAAATCAATTTGGCACGACCGACTACACCGGGTGAGACCGCAGCGCGTAACAATTAGCTGAAATTTGTAATTAGAATTTAGTCAAACAAACAAAAGTAAAACGGCCGGAACGAAATAACCCTCCCAAGACGTTTTTCTGTGCTTCGACGTTTGCCACCTCCTTGGGTTTGTTTGGTTTTGTTTTTATGGCCACATTTTCCCCCAGGTCAACTTTCATTGGCGGGGAACGCCTTCATTGGCGAAGGATCGCTCCAGAAGGAAAAGGAAATTTTACAACGCTTTCGTACTCATTTTAATGATGTCTTAAACAGAATTAATTTTGTGATTTATCTTACTGCTGTTTTGCTTTGTTTTTGCTCTCTCCGATGGCCATTTGCTTGTTGTACTTTACCAACCATAAAGATCCAATTAGAAATTCATTCTTTATGTTCACTGAGATGTAGAACATTTTTTCGTTTACTTGTTTGAAATTCTATGCTATAAACTTATCTTTCCATCGCTCCAATTTTCAAAAATAATAAAACAATTATTCCAAAGCGAAACGCTGCAGATTACCATCAGTAAAAGTTAGACATACTCTCCAAAAAATCATGCATTATCACCCGAAAATTATCCCATTGCTTACCCTCAACAGACTCAGTTTTATGTGCATTTAATATCTCTATTTTACTTAATTAAATAAACCGAATGTAAATATTTGCTCTTCCCTCACCACCACTGATGATGATTGCGGGTATTATTATAGTTGTATTTAATGAAGCTTGGCTTTTACTGGGTTTATATAACTGGATTTTATGATTTATTGCCGACAGGGCACAAACAAACAAAGGACCTAGTTGCTACTTTTGGTCGCACTTTGATTCTATTTAGTGCGTTGAATAGCTCGTCATCATTGACATATAGCTTTCTACTGACTGTCGGCACATGCTCGATTTCCTAGCTTCCACAGTAGTGAAACCATAGCATAATGATTATTACTGTCTCTTAACGAGCCGCTAGGTAAACGTGTTTAGTTCATGTACGCTTATTGACATATTCTTCAATTGGCCCTAACTCCGATGTCTCCACCGTGGTGAACAAAACTGTCTAACTTCAGAGCTTTATCTTTACGGCCCTAGCCATTATGAGCTATTTGAAAACCCCGTTCTGGTAACAGTTACTGCCAAACATGATAAATCAAAGCATAAGGACGGTCGCTCTTGCCGCCCCAACCGTTACACACTCAAGCCCTTTCCATCATAAATAATTAAGATAGCCGCAGTAAACTTCCGCCCTTGTCAACGTCGTAGCTGGCGGGGTCGATTCCCGGGACACTCTTACCAGTGGTAATTAGCGCAGAGCGAAGAAAGCTGGAAATAAGCGCTAAATTCCTCACGGTGTGTGTGGTGACAACGTGTCAAAAACACCCCTTGAAATTTCGGCGGCCAACCCACTCGTTCGGATGAATCAACGCCGTTCGGTGGTGTCGGTTATAGGGAAGGTCACTTCTTCGAAGCACAATCAATCATCACTGTTTTGGCAGTTAGCCGCGCGCCTCCACGTTCCGGAAGGGGCGGTTAATGTGCGTGCTGTGATGGAAGCGTTCTCGCGTACGAAATGGTAATCACCGAAGTTGGTAGAACGAAATATGTTCTACTCTACTTTCCATAATAATTACAACTCCTAATAGGAATGATTGAAGAACCCAAAAATGACCAATTAAATTCAGTGTTCTTCTATATATTTTTGCGTGTGAACAACGAAGTTTTTGTGTACAAACGAATTAGTGTTGACCTATGCAATCAATCCTAGTGGTGTATGCTCATAGGCTCCGGATTAGAATATTTTGTAAAATAAAAAATCGTTGTAAATAATTCAATCGGGTGGGAGCTTGGTCGTATGCTGACAGGGGGAGGGGGTGTGGGGGGCTCCACTCTTCGGAGGGTGCAGCCTATCCGAGGGTCTCTCCTCGATGCTAAGGCCGCTTTAACAGCGTCTAATATCCATGTTAGGGTTAACGGAGGCCGAGAACTCCACGAAATTTGGATTTAACCGCGAAATTTCAGTGATTCCGCGAGATGCCGCAAAATTTATGGAAAATGGCATAAGATGTTCAAAAAGTACTTTGTTTTGTTGTATGCAAAGCAATTGATTTTTCATGACGTTAATTAAATGTTCTAAGTAATAATTATAAATTAGATTCATATTTTTCGATTTCAAACTGACCAAAATGTCCGTATATGTCCTGGGTACTTCGGGTATATGCCAAAACCCATCATGCGACACATGACGGTGACGGAGGATCTATTTTGTTGATATCATAAATTGACAGTGGATGTGACAAAAACCCTATTATTCAATAGTTAAGCCATCAAATAACCAACATACCCCACTTTCCGTCTTACCCCGAATACCCCTATTGCGATTTTTGTGAGCTAAAAAACTTTCACGTAATTTCAAGTTTTTTTTCACATTTCTCGCAATTAAGCAATTAGCCTCGATTTTCCACTGTCCCTACTTATCATTCATAAATCTTGCAGATGAGTAAATAGATGGTAGATTAACCAGTCATGG